GCAACAGATGTTAGCTCAGGGCTAATCTTCCTCAAAGAAAAAAGAAAAGAAAAACATACTCTTACATAGGGGAAAAAAAGAAAGTATATTATCGTAGGGGATTTGCTATTAATTCTCTGCCATATCCCCAGATCCAACTCATCCATAAGAGCAAAGGAAGAATTTCCAAGAACTGCAACACAATATATCTTTTATTTTTTACTTTATTGAGGGGAAGGGTGATGAATAAGTAATAGATACTCATGGTTTTAAAAATCAAATTGTTCCAAAAGACCTGCAGTGAAAAATAAGTCTCCCTCTTACCACAGTTTTCCAGTTCCCCTCTCCACACACAACTTCTTGTGTTACAATTTTTTGCATATCCTTCTAGAGACAGACTGTACTCATACATCCATGTGTTTGTGTGCCGTTTTCCTCACCTCTTCTTTTGTTTTAACTTGAATGATAGCAAACTATACACACTGTTCTGCTCCTTATTTTTCTCACTAAACAATGTATCTTGGAGATAATTCCATATAGTACATAGAGTTCTGCCTCTCTGTATATATGTAAAACGATTTATTTAATTAGTCCCCTATAGCTAAGCATTTCGATTGTTTCCAGTCGTGTATTAGTTCAAACCAGGTTGCAATGAATGTCCTTACATTCACTTCCAGGATAAGTTACTGGAAATAGAACAGCTATGTCAAAAAATAAATTGCGTATTTTTAATTATTATAAATCTGTAAGCTTTCCTTGCATTTCAACTATCATCTTGTTTCATTCTAAGTGACATAACACACAGAGCAGCCAACACTCACTCCAACATCATGGTCTTTCTGTGGAATGGCACCAAGTCCTTTCTGTCAACAACTGTCTCCCAAGTGCTGCCACGTTAGTGAGACCCCATCTAGAATGATCTCATTCTAGAGAATTTCACAGCCCCAAAGCCCCCCGTTGAAAATAAACATTGACAACTTGGGTCTCGGCCATTAGCTGTTTGGAATGATTCAACAATTGTTTTTAAACACTCTTTTGTATAAAAATTGGAGAAAGGAAAGGGTTGAAAAAAGGCAAAGAAGAAGGCCAGGAAGACCTACATTTTAATAATGGATGTAAGTCAAGATCTTGGACTTTCTTTGTCTTGACTCCACAAGTAACTACCAAGTCACTGAAGGTCTCTGGACTTTCTTTGTCCTGCTGTGCAAAATGAAGACCGTGGACCAAATTATTTCTCAGGACCCTCCCTCCTTTGAGAGTCTGAAGCTATGGATGCAGCATAGGTCAGGGGCACTTGTCCTCCCAACCTCACCATATTCAAAAAGCAAGAGATGTCACAAATCACTACGTTATTAATATCCAAATGGGTGGTACAATGAAGAAGGAATTTAGATAGTGGTGTGCTGGTAACCAGTCTGGAGCTGGGTTCGGGGAAAGAGAGCCTTGATTTGTAGCATTTGCTGATTTCTGTAGTGTCATTATTCCCACTATGATAATTCAACCTGCCAACATGACGTCACTAAACTCAGAGTTGGGAAGAGAGGCACAGAGTTGCCTGCTGGCTTCAGCAAACCACGAGTTAGGAATTCAAAGGAAGTATTTCCTTCAGTTCTGTGTTGAGAAAACCTCATGAAAGAGGAGAGACTTGAAGTAGGCATTGAAGGATACTGGTTTAATACTCTTCCCATGGTACCTGACAGAAACTATTCCAACTAGCTTAAAGAAAGAGAGAAAGAATATGAGAATGTGAGTGTTTTACACAAGTATCTGAACAAAGGGCTCTAATAGTATCATCACAGCACTCTCTCTCCATCTTTCAGTTCCTCTTGAATCTGCTTCTATTTGTGTATTGATGTCATTGTCTCCTGCCACAAGCAGGCTCTCCAAGTGGCAGGAAATACGGCTAGTGGCAGCCCAGGGCTATATCCTCACAGTTAACAATTCAGAAGAAAAGCAATGCCATCTCATGGAAATCTCATGGGAAGACTCTGATTGGCTCTGCTTGGGTCTCATGCCCACTGTTTGGGCTCTTAACTGGGCATAAAAGGAAAGAGTACCTGGTCCACAGGCCCTGCCCCTGCAGCCAGAGGGCAGGCAGAGCACTAGGATGGACCACTCTTCCCTACCACGCAATAGACAGGAGAATCATCCAAATGGAATTCCCCAATGGACAGAGGGTTACTAGGCAGATAAAAGCCATGAGTTTCTAGTAGACATATGGATGAGGCTTTGTGGCGAGGCAGAAGAGCAGGGACTAGTTAAAGGGAGCTGCATAAATAGACGTGCAGAAACACAGAAGTTGAAGGTGCATTTGGGAGCCAGCAAGAAGACCACCCTGACCAAAGCAAGGCTACCCACAGGGCAGTGGTTCTCAATGGAGGGCAATTTTGCCTATCTGGGACATTTGGCAATGTCTGGAGACATTTTTGGTTGTCACAGCTGGGGATGGGAGGGCTGCTACTATCATCTAGAGGGCAGAGGCCAGAGATCCTGCTAAACATCCTACAATGCACAGGAC